TGAGACGCTGCAGTTATGCGATCTCAGCCCCGCCCACTTTAATGCATGTGGAGGGGGGAATAGGGCTGAGATTTCTTCCCTTACCGGTCGTACTCCGTCCGAAGTTCCAAGCGGCAGACGAAGACGGTGCGCGGGTTCTGGGACTGCTGCTTAAAGTTGTAAAAGCCGTTAAATTTCACGCCACCCTAGATAGCCAGGCTAGGGCGCTAGGAGTGTGTCGGAGCAGTCGCCGCTCCTTGGATGACACTGACGGTTTTTGCCTCTAGCAACTTAAGCTGCATTGTCAGATAGGTGGCAAAGAATCCTGACACGATGACCTGCGGTGGCGGACCTTCTTGCTACATTCAAGGGCAGGCTCGCCACGTCGAGGCAGCAGACCATGAGGGGGTATAATAAATATTGATGCTTTTATGTCAGATGCTGGATATGGTAGTTGCCGCTCACATCGCTCGCACCACATCCGGAGAGTTTGTTGTGGATCCACGAAAAAGTCAGATCACCGATGGATGTTCTGAATGCACCTTAGCATTGATGCCTAATCAAAATCAGGTCAGTCTCATATTTTGACATATGTACTATGTTATACTGCTTCTGTTATAGATAGTTTGCTGTGACATACGCGGAGGGCATCTCACAAGTACAGAAATAGAAGAGCTGATAACCTTTGCAACCGAGAAATCGATGAAGCTTTACCCTGTGCTGCGGAAGGCTTTATTAGCCACCATCTCAATGCAGGAAGGGAGCGCTTGTTGAGCCATCGAGTTATTTCATTGTTTACATTAACGTTGCTACTATCAGTTATCTTGTTCGCCGACTTTTGATCGGCAGCTCATCTTAAGTTGTTTTTTCTGTTGATTGTTGCTGTGTCTGAGCGTCATTTTTTGTTGATGTGTACAGAGCAGAAAATAAAGCGCTCTGCGTAAGAAGTTGGTAAAGAATGGAGTAGACAAGATGGATGCGCAAAAGCAAATTCTCTTCAGGTGGCATCAGGTGCGATAGTGTGAGAATTTTCCAAAACCTAGAAAAGTGTCAATATTTTCAGAAATAAAAAAAAGCCAAGGATTATGAATCCAAGTGAGATAAGATACAGGGTGTCCAGAGGTGTTTTGGGGGGAGCCGGGCCCCCCAATAGTGAAAGTGGTCCCAGCTACCACTGGCCGCCAAAAGTGA